AGAGCAAACCAATCCAGAGTAAAGGAGCAAACCAATCCCAGTTAAGGATGACTTTTCCCAAAAAGTCTTTGCTAAACTATTGTGTACTAAACTATTCCGTGGACCACGCGCTGTACGAGCATACCGAGGACTGAGTTCTAGAATGAATGTGAGAAACTAACCCATAAGCCTGCACTGGTAAAAGATGAATTTTCGATTGTTATTCGTATACAATTCGCGCGGTCCCACGTGGCCTGCAAAGCGCGCATTAAATGCGTATCACGCTGTCGTCAATGTGTTAAAGTCACTATAGAGGGGGAGGTCTTTGACACCCTCCCACGCTGTCACCGTACCAAGAAGGGTGCCTAGTGCCATGCCTATCTATGCACGAGCTCGAAATTCCCAGCTATGGATCGCGTGAATCGATCTTAAAGACAGCCCTCGCGCTCGAGTAGTACATGGTCCCTGTGCAAGTAGTACAGCCCCCAAGCTAGAGACTGTCCCACTCTATTCGTCTGCACAGCGAGCGAGAAGCGAGCTACAGCCGCTGTAAGTTCTAGTTCTAACGCCTGCTCAGTTGGACCGCCTTACTTGCTAGATGTCCTCCGACGGAGGCCACTCAGTTGTTCTTAGTTGGGGCGGCGGGCATTGCTAATGCCCATGGATAATTCTGCTCCCCTTTATTACAGTTTACTCATTGGAGGTATATACATTCAATTCAACTCATTTCGCGAGGTGAAACGCGTAAAAAGCACGAGTGACGCAATTTTCGTGATGCAAAACCTCGACGCACAAAACGTGCGCTACCGTAATCCCAAATTCAGACACCGCGTTGATAAAATTCCTTTTTCCTTCCAAGAGTTTTTCCTCTGCGTTTTTGTTGTTTTCTTTTTGTATTCTTTTTTTTGCACTGGATGATATCAACTACTGCGAGATGTGATAGAGAGATTTGTGAGCTAGGGGTTGCACAGAGACCGCAGGGAGGTGTGACTGTGAGGGAGCGATTTTGTTTATGTTGTTCTGGAGGACGCTTCTTGCCTGTTTTCTTCTTTGGGAGATTACTTATCAGCTACTGTTTCATAATTGGAAAGCAGCTATCCATGAGACTTTTATCGCGGGAGCTGTCTTTAAGCCGTCCTAAGAGACGGTATTCCTTGACAATATATTCCATAAATTTAGAGCTGCTCCTTCAGTACCTGCGTGGTGCTGACAGAGCTGCTTCCAAGATCGCCCTTTTCGTCACCTTGACATTCAGCTTTGATACCCTAAATTTCAGTAAAGAGAAACAGGGGAGACGAATGATTGGGAAAAAAGAACACACTCCAAAACACAGATGGCCCCTTTTGCTACTTACCCAAGATGAACCATTTTTATGTCGTCAACCCCAAAACTCGTCAGTGGGATAAGAATGTTTGTTCCTCGGCTTACTAGGGATAGTCGCCAATCGAAGTGGCCATTTGTCATGAGGGGACGTGTTTTCACGGGACGTGTTTTTGGACGCTGATCTCGAATTTGCTCTCGAAATTCGCAGAATGATTCTCTTAACGAAATTAGAATTATGAGGGTTCGTATGAATGAAGGGAAACAGAGGCAAGCACGGTTGCCAGTCAGTTTGCACAAATAACCGCGAAGCGCACCCATTACCATCAACATCATGGTACAGTGACGAGAGTCTCGCTCCGCAGGGGTGAAACGAAGGTTCGGGTTATGGGATAAACTGTTTGTTCATTCTGTGAGAATGCCTGTCCTGAGTCTAGAAAACACTTTCAAATGACCGCACTTCACGAATCCAGTCGGTGGTGACCCAGGTAATCCTACAAGATTGGGCACCTTCGCCCTACAAGTAATCATTTGTGTACAGCTGCCTGTAGCTCACGCCACACTCGTTTTCGCGGGTGCCATAATCATGTTCAGGGAGCAAAACTACCCTTGGGGACACACTTGCCAAATGTTAGGTTTTGACCCAACCTCGAAAAGTGAGTGAGTAGTGGGTGAATGTGAGCATGAGTTGAGCTACATCCATGGATGCTTCGCTTTTCGAAGTCAGTCAAAATGCCAGACTTGGCTGAATAGTGTACTTAGGCGTAGTCTGACCCGCTGAGTACGAGTATGACACTCGCCTAGCGCGAAATACCTTTATCGTGTCTAACAGAAGACAAGGAGCCCAGGCGCAGAAGTAAAACTTTTTCAAGCAAGCTTAGGTGAGCATTGATGTAGTAATGACGCTACGACCACATTTTGCCATGTCTGCGAGAAGCAAAAAAAATTAGCCTGGCAAGGATTTGATCTCATGACCTGTTGCTTAAAGACACATAGTACGCTCACACACATTGAGGGTGTATGAGACTATCAGCCCCCAGCTGTCGATGTGTCGTGGTCCCCCGCCCAAACATGCCCAGGAATGGAGATACAGGACCGTGAAACACGCTAATTCCTCCATGCTCCGCCTTACACCTTTTTGCGGCGCAGATTCCCGTCCTTCATAACATCCGTCGTAAGCGCGCGTGTCGCGTGCGGCTCCTTGGCACTTTGCCAAGTCCTTTAATTGCGCTCTTCAAATACAAGTAAAACGCAATTTCCTGATGCGGATAACATTGGAGGTGCTACAAAATAAGAACAGAAGATGATGACGAGGGTCAGAACTTAAAAGCAACTGTGCCACTTCTGCAACATCCCTCGGAGGCCGCGTATTTCCACGAAACATGAAAATAAAAACGGCATACTCGTTAGTTTGATACAAGCAAAACGCAATTTCCTGATGCGAATAAAATTTTAGGTGTTGCTCATGCTTCAAAATCCATGTACAAGGAGATGAAGATGACACAGGCTAGAAATGAAGCACACGATGTAAATGTAAATAAAACAAAAATGAAAAAATCAAGGAAAGGCAAATTAGTTGAAATCGCCTGTAAATTTCTACGATCCGGCGCGAATCCGGCGCCAAAGCCATAGAAATACTTAGAACAAACGAGTGGGACGCTTGGGTTGTTTTTATTCTCATGTTTTGTGGGAATGCGCGGCCTCTGATGGATACTGCAGATGCAGCCGAGTTGCTCTTGAGTTCTGGCCCTCGTCATCATCTTCTGTTCTTATTTTGTAGCACCTCCAATGTTATCCGCATCAGGAAATTGCGTTTTACTTGTATTTGAGAGCGCAATTAAAGGACTTGGCAAAGTGCCAAGGAGCCGCACGCGACACGCGCGCTTACGACGGATGTTATGAAGGACGGGAATCTGCGCCGCAAAAAGGTGTAAGGCGGAGCATGGAGGAATTAGCGTGTTTCACGGTCCTGTATCTCCATTCCTGGGCATGTTTGGGCGGGGGGACCACGACACATCGACAGCTGGGGGCTGATAGTCTCATACACCCTCAATGTGTTTGAGCGTACCATGTGTCTTTAAGTAACACGGAGGAAAAAAGTTCATAACTGCGTTTAAGAATCGTTCTGCAAATTTCGAAGGCAGATTTGGATCAGCGTCCAAAACCACGTTCAGTGAGCTATGTCTCATTACAAATGGCCACTTTGACCTGGCGACCTTCCTTAGACTGTCGATACATATTGGAGTAGTACTGTGCGTTTACGAGATATGACAGTAGGATGGAACTCAACTTAATGGAAATGAGGCGAGGTTTTGTTTTTGGAGTCAGCCTTCCCAGGGTGTTATACCGATACAACGGAGCTCTTCAAGTTTTTCAGTCTAAATGTGTACACCTATATTATTTTGTGGGAGAAGTGGTACTAATTTTAGAGCACGCTGAGCTCAATAAGCAGAGTAACAAGGTATCAAACCTTTGCCCCAACTCCGAACAGCCCTTTTCAGAGATGTACTTGGGATTTTGAAAGCCAGCGTAATCATTCTATATGAGTCCGGTACAGAGCTGTTAAAATCTCCGCAGGCACTCGTGGGGGCACTCTCAATTAGTGGTTGCAGTGCAGATGAACTTTGGGCAATGACTACCGTGACACGAATATTGCTGGCTCTAACACTCCTTTCCCTTCATGTTAGCGAACTCACCACGTGATTTCCTCAGATTATTTTCTATGTTCTAAGGTCGGCCAGAAAACAACGGTGCAGTGGCTAGGACGTGATGCCGTTACGGGTCAAATTCGGCTTTCACGAAAAACCGTGACGTCAGTGAGTTTACCTTCTAGGACTCCGCGGAAGTAAACTGTTGATTCAATGATTGTTACTATAGTTGTTGTTGTTTGTTCTTACACTTTATCAGACTGCTGTTGACGGTTTATAAATTCGTTCCAAGTAATTGAATCTGTGAAACACTTGTACAAGGAGAATTGCAAGTTTGGCAGTACTGTACAATCATCAGAGAAAACATTACGGATTACTGAGTTACTTGTTCGTCAACTGAGCAACACGAAAACGAACATTCTTTGAGACAGTAAAAAAGAAAAACAACCAATGAGGATTCTCAAGAACCCGTTTTAACAACGAATTGTGCGCAAACTGATTGTGCAAAATGAGGTGACAGGTTGAAAATGATGTAGAACTTTCGACAGAGATGGATCATTGTCAGTGTTGATACCAAAACGTTGCTAATACAGTTTGCTGATTAAACTAACATACAGTGCGGCCCACACTCTGCGACTGCTCGCCAAATCATCAGGAGTGGTGAGTCTATTCGGTATATGCCACCTACTGTGACAAATTTCGAAAAGGAATTAAAGGGAGTGAGTACATTCTGTGAAAACTG